GAGCCCAAGAACGTGCTCGACAAAGACATGAGGGACGCCATCCTCAAGCTGGAACGACGGGGCGAGGAGACCAGGCGCGCGAGTTACGAGCATAGACCACAGGCACGAGCCGTGGTTTCAAGAATGGGCTGCCATGCCTGAATCTGACCAGGGTACTGAAACCGATGACGTAGAGGACGCGGCGCTCTGGCGAGACCCTGGGGTTTCCGAGCTCAGATCGTAGCACAGCTCTCCACCGTTGCTCTGTTTTGGAGCTCTTTTTCAGCGGAATAAGCTGCTTCAATTAACATTTTCCTTCTCACCTTGTTGCCGTGTTGCCCTGCAATCTGCATCTTTTCGTGGTCGTCGCTGAAGCCCTTGTAAACCGGGGGCGGCCCCACAGCTGATAGGCCGTTGAGGCCCCAACAGACCGTCCGTGCACCACCACTGCCAAGCCCAACAGGAGTGACCGTGCCCGCTGCGCGCGGGCCCGCCAAAGGAAGCCTGGAGGAACGCGCCGGCGCAATTAGCCCACGACCGCATCACAATGCCGTCGTGCGATTAGTTTTAGGATGGCTGATATAAAAGTTGGGAAGCAAGCAAGAGCAGTTCTTTGGTCAATCTCAGAAGTTAGTAATACAGCACAGCGGTGCTCCAGGGCTGGCTGGTATTTCGGGGATTTCGAGCATGGTTTGGTGACGAGGATGGGTTTCTACTTGCAACTCCCACAGAGCCAACTGGTACAAAGCAACTGACATCTGCAAAAAGAACTGGCAACTCAATTAACGTTCTTTAGTTCCTGAGACAGCCGGACACCCGTTATTCCAACAGATGGCTGCCGCAAAAGGCAGTTTCTTGGCATTGACCACTCCCAATCATGCCATCCGGCGGGCGAGAGGGTGCTGTATGCAAGCGGCCCACAGCATCAGGGCCCCCAACGTGGGTGTGTGTAATCCGTAATTGGTGAGAGCCTATTGTTGCGGCCTGATCCCGCCCGGCCTGATCCTTTTCAGCTTGCTCTCGTTTTTCTCTGGCAACTGTTGTACAAGGCTGCGCTCCCCAGTGTGATAAAACAATATGTTGTTGTCACGTCGCCTCTCTCTCCTCGGGTGACTCAATTCCAGCTTCCGTCAATGTAGGCCAACCGTATATTCCTAACATTCTGCTCGTCAATCTGACGGTCTCATCCGCTTTCATCCGCACCATGACATCCCACAATGCTCTCGACAGCCCCGACCACTATGGGGTCGCTTGGATCGCTGCTCTTCCCATCGAGCGGGCCGCTGCAAAAGCGATGCTCGACGAGGAACATGCGCCTCCAACTGGCTTCGTTAGACACGAAACCGATGCAAATGTTTATACATGGGGTCGGGTGGGTGAGCACAACATCGTCATCGCCTCTCTTGCCGCCGGAGTTTATGGAACTACCTCGGCTGCGACCACGGCCTCGAGCCTGCTTGCCTCTCTACCATCCATCCGTGTTGGTCTTTTGGTCGGCATAGGCGGCGGCATCGCCCGACCGGACGAGGATTACGATATACGGCTCGGCGACGTTGTCGTGAGCCAGCCCGACGGGACCACAGGCGGCGTCTGCCAGTACGACTTAATCAAGGCCAAGTCTGGTGACAGGCGTGAGCGCAAAGGCTTTCTCAGACCACCTCCGACCGTCCTCCTTAATGCGCTTGCCAGCATCCAGGCCGATCACGAGTCGACGGACTCCAAGGTTCCCAACTTCCTTCAACAGATGCTAAAGAAGAACCCGAAAATGAATAGAAGATCCAAGCAAAGTCCTGGCTATATTCACCAGGGCACCGACAACGACCGGCTCTTCCAACCTTCATGCGACCACGTCCCCGGGTCGGACTGTCGGGGCTGTGACACGGCTGACGAGGTTAAACGCGATGCTCGAGACACCACCGACCCCGAGATACACTACGGGACTATCGCATCCGGCAACTCGCTTGTTAAAGACGCCGCTACGCGTGATCGGATTGTTGCCGACATCGGCGAGGACTGCATCTGCTTTGAGATGGAAGCAGCCGGCCTGATGAACCACTTCCCCTGTCTTGTGATCCGAGGGATCTGCGACTACGCCGATTCCCACAAGAACGATCGATGGCAACGCTATGCCTCGGCCACCGCCGCTGCGTATACCAAGGAGCTCCTAGCGTACGTGCCGGTCCAGGAGGTCCAGGAGACCAAGAGGGCACTGGACGTGCTTAATCAAGTTAGTGGTTCTATATCCTCCCACGCCCCGTGGCCTGGCCGAGCGAATAAACAAGACACAGTAATCACCTCACTTCGGAGACATTCTGACCTACATTGATTAAACAGAAACTCGATAGTGTGCAGCAGACCACTGATTCCATCCAGGCCGACCTTCGTACCGAGAAGATCGAGCGCTGGCTTCGACCCCCTGATCCGTCTACAAACGCCAACCACGCGAGGGAGCTCCGCCATGAGGGGACAGGTGCGTGGCTCCTAAAAAATCCGGTCTTCCAGGAATGGCACTCGGGGGCGCGTCGATATTTATGGCTGCATGGGCTCGCGGGATGTGGAAAGACGGTTCTCAGTGCGACTGTGCTAGATCATCTCGTAAAGGGAAACGACCGTCGTATCCTCAGCTTCTTCTTTGACTTCAGCGACACGGCAAAGCAGACCGTGGATGCCATGCTGCGGTCACTTGCTTTCCAACTCTACCGAGGCAGGGCTCGTTCTGCAGGTGTTCTTGACGCCTCATTCCAAGCACACCAGGATGGCCGCAACCAACTTGCAACGAAGACGCTCTCAGATGTTTTATTCAAGATGCTCGCAGTCCAGAAGAAAGTCTCTATCGTTCTGGATGCCTTAGACGAGTCGAGAACGAGGGCCGACCTACTCCTCTGGATCAAGGACGTAGTGTCCAGGCCCAGAGCTTGGGCCACGTCCAGCTGATCTGTACCGGTCGGCCTGAAGCCGAGTTCCTGCGCGACATCCCCTCGTTGATAGGCGAGGGAAACAGCTTAGAATTTAACAAGCAGGCTGTCAACGCCGACATCCAATCATACGTCGCAGCACAGCTTTCGCAACGACGCGAATTTCGGGACAAGCCCTTGTCGCAGGATCTCCTTCTGCTGATCCAGAGTAGGGTTGGAGACGGGGCCAACGGGATGTGAGATATCACTGCTTCGATTGATATGCTGATGGTTTGCTGACACGGTGCTTAGGTTCAGGTGGGCGTTCTGTCAATTGGATAGCCTAGCTCGATGTCGTCATGAAGCAGCTATTGAGGAGGCTCTCGCATCTTTGCCGCGGACCCTGGAAGACACGTACCGACGCATGATTGAATGCATACCGATGGAGCTTAAAAACGACGCGATGCGGCTCCTGCAGTTTCTAGTGCATTCGACGCGACCTCTCAAGCTGGCCGAGGCCAAAGAAGTAATAGCAACGCAGATCGAAAACGAGCCGCGAGGGTTTGACGTCAAGCGTCGACTGTTTTGCGATACTGATGTTTTGGACTACTGTCCTAGCTTAGTGACAGTCGTTCACGCCGCCGGCAAAGAGCTACATCTTGCCCACTTTTCTGTCAAAGAGTACCTTCTCAGAGACGAGCGGTTCAACATTGCGATTGCTAGCATTCCCATTGCGAGGACGTGCTTGACTTATCTTACGGACATAAACTGTAACCACGAAGAGATTAAGCGGGATTTTCCAATGGCAAGATTTGCGGCGGAAGTCTGGACATACTATGCCACGTTCGCTCAGGCTTCGGAGAATATGGTTCAAACAACTGTTAAGTTCCTAGAAGAGGAAGTGACGTTTCAGCGGTGGGCTCGTTTGTATCAGTCTGATAGTCCCTGGGACGATGACCCAGGTCCTCCACGAGGTTCCAGGCTCTATTATGCTTGCTTCGCTGGGCTCATAGCACCTGCAAAAGTTCTTATCAGCAAAGGAGCAGACGTCAACGCGCAGGGTGGCATCTACGGCAACGCTCTCCAAGCCGCCTCATCGAAAGGCCATCAAGAGATTGTCAGACTACTCTTGGACAAGGGAGCAGACGTCAACGCGCAGGGCGGCTTCTACGGCAACGCTCTCCAGGCCGCCTTATCGGAAGAGCATCAGGAGATTGTCAAACTGCTCTTGGACAAGGGAGCAGACGTCAACGCGCAGGGCGGCTTCTACGGCAACGCTCTCCAGGCCGCCTTATCGGAAGAGCATCAGGAGTTTGTCAAACTGCTCTTGGACAAGGGAGCGGACGTCAACGCGCAGGGCGGCGATTACGGCAACGCTCTCCAGGCCGCCTCATGGAGAGGCCATCAAGAGATTGTCAAACTGCTGTTGGACAAGGGAGCGGACGTCAACGCGCAGGGCGGCAAATACGGCAACGTCCTTCAGACCGCCTCATGGGAAGGCCATCAAGAGATTGTCAAACTGCTCTTGGACAAGGGAGCGGACGTCAACGCGCAGGGCCGGCCCATATGGCAACGCTCTCCAGACCGCCTCATGGAGAGGCCATCAAGAGATTATCATACTGCTGTTGGACAAAGGAAGCAGACGTCAACGCACAGGGCGGCAAATACGGCAACGCCCTCCAGACCGCCTCATGGGAAGGCCATCAAGAGATTGTCAAACTGCTCTTGGACAAGGGAGCGGACGTCAACGCGCAGGGCGGCAAATACGGCAACGCTCTCCAGGCCGCCTCATGGAGAGGCCATCAAGAGATTGTCAAACTGCTCTTGGACAAGGGAGCGGACGTCAACGCGCAGGGCGGCCTATATGGCAACGCTCTCCAGACCGCCTCATGGAAAGGCCATCAAGAGATTGTCAAACTGCTGTTGGACAAAGGAGCAGACGTCAATGCACAGGGCGGCAAATACGGCAACGCCCTCCAGACCGCCTCATCGAAAGGCCATCAAGAGATTGTCAAACTGCTCTTGGACAAGGGAGCGGACATCAACGCGCAGGGCGGCCCATATGGCAACGCTCTCCAGACCGCCTCATGGAGAGGCCATCAAGAGATTGTCAAACTGCTCTTGGACAAGGGAGCGGACGTCAACGCGCAGGGCGGCCTATATGGCAACGCTCTCCAGACCGCCTCATGGAAAGGCCATCAAGAGATTGTCAAACTGCTGTTGGACAAAGGAGCAGACGTCAACGCACAGGGCGGCCCATATCGCAACGCTCTCCAGACCGCCTCATGGAAAGGCCATCAAGAGATTGTCATACTGCTGTTGGACAAGGGAGCGGACGTCAACGCGCAGGGCGGCGTCTACGGCAACGCTCTCCAGGCCGCCTCATCGAACGGCCATCACGAGATTGTCAAACTGTTCGAATCAAGGGGCGCTATAACATCATCTTTGAAGCGCTCCAGCTCTAGAATTCCAGGCAACCTGGCAAAAAGACTTCGTCCTATGGTCCCTGAATCATTTGATCAAATGGCCAATCGAGATTAGAAGCTCTTTGCGATGCGTCTTGGGTTCGAGCTCTAGATTTTCGATCACCCAAGTGGAAATGGGGAAGTCTGCAGGACAGCCGCCATCTCCTGTTGATACCTCTCGTGCAAGAAGCCCTCGTCCCAAAAAGGGAATCAGTTTGTACGTGGGCTAAACCAGAAACTTCAGTATGAGCAGCATCCACTGGTCGTGTTCGTAGGAAATCCAAAGCTGAGGTCAATAGGAGTAGGTTGTTATTGAGCTTAAAGTCGCTGTAGATAGCGCGCTTGGTCTCAGCTAACTATCGCATTTCAGCCATACATGACACTCCAGGTGGGGGACGACGGCGGCGTCGGGGCGAACGTCGAGAGCATCGATCCTCAGGAGCATTACGAAGCCTTCCTGGATGTCCTATCCGCGGACCGACGTAGCGAAATCAAGGATATGGCGGCGGCCGAGGCGCTGAGGCGCTTGGACGAAGAGGCGAGGGCAGTTGACCCAAGCCAGGACGACAACAATGCTGCCCAGCGTGGTCGCCATTTCTATACCATGCTACAGGACCTCCAAGACTCGCCTTTCCGCGGCATGGGACTGCCCAGCCGCGAGGAGATCGACGCGGTATTGAAGGTCCAGAAGAAAGAGGACAGCAGCGTCACGGCGAAGATCCAGGGCAGGCAAATGAATCCGTCTTCTGCGCATGCCGGCGAGCCACACAGGAGCCCACGGTTGCCCGTTCACGGACGCGAAAGATCTCCAGAAGGGGTCGGTCCGGGCGGACAGATGCGGCTCGAGCTCGGACGTTATGCAACATACGTCGATGTGGCCCTGGGGCTCACAAGGCACTGGACCCTGAACAAGCTCCAGTCGATGGCAGTCTTACTACCAGCGGCGTTTCTTGACGAGCGCGGCACACGGCTGCAGGAAGAAGGGGGTCGGCAGCATTTCCAATACATCGGCGGCGAGGGCGGCACCGGCAAGTCTCGACGTCATACACGCCATCAAGGACATGTTCCGGCTGAAGGACGGTCTCCACACGCTGCTCTTGACGGGCGCCAGCGGTAACGCGGCCGCGCTTATCGGCGGAGTGACGCTGCACTCGGCGGCAAATATTGCGTTTGAGGGCAGGGCAGCGACAGCAAAGAACATCTCGGAAGAAGAGAAGCTGCGGTGGAAAAACATGATCATGCTGGTTATCGACGAGATCAGCCAGGTGGGCGGTCTCACGCTCGCGGCGGTGGACAGCCGCCTGAAGCAGTACAGAGACGACCAGCATCGACCGTTCGGCGGGATCCCAATGGTCATATTCTTTGGTGACTTCTTCCAGTTCAACCCCGTCCTGCAGACCAGCCTCCTCTTGCCAAGGCCTAGGGACCGCGGCGGACAGAGACCAGAGAGCTCGGCAAAGCACCTAGCTGCGCATAGGCTGTTCCTCCAGTTCACGAACGTCGTCATCCTCCGCGAACAGGTCCGCGCAGCCGGCTGTCCAAGGCTGCGGGGCTTCCTCCGGCGCCTGCGCAACGGTGATCAGACCGAGCTGGACTTCCAGCGGCTATGCCACCGCCTCCATACACCGTCGTGCGAGTCCTCGTTCGTAGATGGCTTGAGAGCCATCACGCCTCTGAACCAAGATCGGTGGGACCTGAACATGGCAGCCGTCGTCCAGTGGGCTCGTGCCCACGGCAAACACATCTCCATCTTCATATCCAAGCACGACACTGAGTCAAGGAAGCGATTGAGTACGGAAGAACTATGCCACGTGCTCCGCTACGGCGAACGACTCGCAGCTGCCAACCCCCGGCCTGTTCTTCTACGCGCAGGGGATGCCGGTCGTGGTAACTCCGCAAACCAGTTTGTCGGGCTGAAGGTCGTCAACGGGGCGCCTTTCAAGGCCGTCGACATATTCCCCGACCTCGCCGCCGGCACCATCGCCCTCGCCAGCGATGTGACTCTTCACCTTGGACCGCCGGTGGCCGTCCTCCTTCAGTCAGACGATAGCGCGGACCTCGCCATTCCCGGGCTTCCCAATGGCACCGTCTTGATCAAGAGCAAGACGGTCGCCATCCCGAGCCAAATGCGGGGCAAAGAAGGCAGATGGAGGGGCAAGCCGGGTTTCAGGTGGGTCACCCACCGAACGGGGCCTCTTTGCACCCCGGCCTTCGCTATGACAGATCAGAAGAGCCAAGGCAAACAGTTCTCGAACGTGCTCGTCAACCTCAAAGGCGTCCACTCGAGTGGCACGGCGACTCGGCCCAGCTTCATGAGCTTGTACGTGCAGCTGTCGAGGGCGCAGAGCTGGGACGGGCTGCATTTGTTTCGGAAACCGGCGCGCGGCGACTTTATCGAGCCCAAGAATGTGCTCGACAAAGACATGAGGGAGGCCATCCTACAAGCTGGAACGACGGGGCGAGGAGACCAGGCGGCGGTTCGCAAGCAAGATCACAGGTCTGAGCCGTGGTTTCAAGAATGGGAGGCCATGCCTGAATCTGGCCAGGGGACTGAAACCGATGACGTAGAGGACGCGGCGCTCTGGCGAGACCCTGGGGTTTCCGAGCTCAGATCGTAGCACAGCTCTCCACCGTTGCTCTATTTTGGAGCTCTTTTCCAGCGGAATAGGCTGCTTTAATTAATATTTTCCTTCTCACCTTGTTGCCGTGTTGCCCTGCAATCTGCATCTTTTCGTGGTCGTCGCTGAAGCCCTTGTAAACCGGGGGCGGCCCCACAGCTGATAGGCCGTTGAGGCCCCAACAGACCGTCCGTGCACCACCACTGCCAAGCCCAACTTCGAGACGCTCATCGTCAGAGGCAAGTTCCTCCAGGCAAAGCAACATGGCTGCTTCCACAATCGTTAGGATAATGACAGTAAAACTTCACAGTTTACAGGGAGATACCATGGTTTGTCTCGGAAAAGGAACCTTTCGGAAGTACTCGATCCTCGTACGTTCCTCCAGGCACAAGAGGGACCGTGCCGCTTCGCGCTCCGCCAAAGGAAGCATGGAGGAACGCGCCGGCGCAATTAGCCCACGGCCGCATCACAATGCCGTCGTGCGATTAGTTTTAGGATGGCTCATAAATGTTGGGAAGCAAGCAAGAGCAGTTCTTTGGTCAGTCTCAGAAGTTAGTAATACAGCACAGCGGTGCTCCAGGGCTGGCTGGTAGTTCGGGGATTTCGAGCATGGTTTGGGATGGGTTTCTACTTGTAACTCCCACAGAGCCAACTGGTACAAAGCAACTGACATCTGCAAAAAGGACTGACAACTCAATTAACGTTCTTTAGTTCCTGAGGCAGCCGGACACCCGTTATTCCAACAGATGGCTGCCGCAAAAGGCAGTTTCTTGGCATTGGTCACTCCCAATCATGCCATCCGGCGGGCTCGAGGGTGCTGTATGCAAGCGCCCACAGCATCAAAGCCCCCAACGTGGGTGTGTGTAATTGGTGAGAGCCTGTTGTTGCGGCCTGATCCCGCCCGGCCTGCTCATTTTCAGCTTGCGCTCGTTTTTCTATGCAACTGTTGTACAAGGCTGCGCTCCCCAGTGTGATAAACAATATGTCGTTGTCACGTCGCCTCTCTCTCCTCGGGTGACTCAATTCCAGCTTCCGTCAATGTAGGCCAACCGTATAATCCTAACATTCTGCTCGTCAATCTGACGGTCTCATCCGCTTTCATCCGCACCATGACATCCCACAACGCTCTCGACAGCCCCGACTACTATGGGGTCGCTTGGATCGCTGCTCTTCCCATCGAGCGGGCCGCTGCAAAAGCGATGCTCGACGAGGAACATGCGCCTCCAACTGGCTTCGTTAGACACCAAACCGATGCAAACGTTTATACATGGGGTCGGGTAGGTGAGCACAACATCGTCATCGCCTCTCTTGCCGCCGGAGTCTATGGAACTACCTCGGCTGCGACCACGGCCTCGAGCCTGCTTGCCTCTCTGCCATCCATCCGTGTTGGTCTTTTGGTCGGCATAGGCGGCGGCATCGCCCGACCGGACGAGGATTACGATATACGGCTCGGCGACGTTGTCGTGAGCCAGCCCGACGGGACCACAGGCGGCGTCTGCCAGTACGACTTAATCAAGGCCAAGTCTGGTGACAGGCGTGAGCGCAAAGGCTTTATCAGACCACCTCCGACCGTCCTCCTTAATGCGCTTGCCAGCATCCAGGCCGATCACGAGTCGACGGACTCCAAGGTTCCCAACTTCCTTCAACAGATGCTAAAGAAGAACCCGAAAATGAATAGAAGATCCAAGCAAAGTCCTGGCTATATTCACCAGGGCACCGACAACGACCGGCTCTTCCAACCTTCATGCGACCACGTCCCCGGGCCGGACTGTCGGGGCTGTAACACGGCTGACGAGGTTAAACGCGATGCTCGAGACACCACCGACCCCGAGATCCACTACGGGACTATCGCATCCGGCAACTCGCTTGTCAAAGACGCCGCCACGCGTGATTGGATTGTTGCCGACGTCGGCGTGGACTGCATCTGCTTTGAGATGGAAGCAGCCGGCCTGATGAACCACTTTCCCTGTCTTGTGATCCGAGGGATCTGCGACTACGCCGATTCCCACAAGAACGATCGATGGCAACGCTATGCCTCGGCCACCGCCGCTGCGTATGCCAAGGAGCTCCTGGCGTACGTGCCGGTCGCGGAGGTTCATGAGACCAAAAGGGCACTGGAAGTGCTTAATCAAGTTAGTGACCCTATATTCTCCCACGGGGGCCTTGGCAAGCGAATGATCAAGGGACAGTAATAATCCCTCTTTGAAGACATTCTGACCTGCATTGCTTCAACAGAAACTCGATAGTGTGCAGCAGACCACAGCTGCAGCGAAACTGGCCACTGATTCCATCCAGGCCGACCTTCGTACCGAGAAGATCGAGCGCTGGCTTCGACCCTCTGATCCGTCTACAAACGCCAACCACGCGAGGGAGCTCCGCCATGAGGGGACAGGTGCGTGGCTCTTGGAAAGTCCGGTCTTCCAAGAGTGGCACTCGGGGTCGCGTCGATATTTATGACTGCATGGGCTCGCGGGATGTGGAAAGACGGTTCTCAGTGCGACTGTGCTGGATCATCTCGCAAAGGGAAACGACCGTCGTATCCTCAGCTTCTTCTTTGACTTTAGCGACACGGCAAAGCAGACCGTGGATGCCATGCTGCGGTCACTTGCTTTCCAACTCTACCGAGGTAAGGCTCGTTCTGCAAGTGCACTTGACGCCTCATTCCAAGCACACCAGGATGGCCGCAACCAACTTGCAACGAAGACGCTCTCAGATGTTTTATTCAAGATGCTCGCAGTCCAGAAGAAAGTCTCTATCGTTCTGGATGCCTTAGACGAGTCGAGAACGAGGGCCGACCTACTCCTCTGGATTAAGGACGTAGTGTCCAGGCCAGAGCTGGGCCACGTCCAGCTGATCTGTACCGGTCGGCCTGAAGCCGAGTTCCTGCGCGACATCCCCCCGTTGGTAGGCGAGGGAAACAGCTTAGAACTCAACAAGCAGGCTGTCAACGCCGACATCCGATCATACGTCGCGGCACAGCTTTCGCAACGACGCGAATTTCGGGACAAGCCCTTGTCGCAGGATCTCCTCGAGCTGATCCAGAGTAAGGTTGGAGACGGGGCCGGCGGAATGTGAGATATCACTGCTTCGATCGATATGCTGATGGTTTGCTGACACGGTGCTTAGGTTCAGGTGGGCGTTCTGTCAATTGGATAGCCTAGCTCGATGTCGTCATGAAGCAGCTATTGAGGAGGCTCTCGCATCTTTGCCGCGGACCCTGCAAGACACGTACCGACGCATGATTGAATGCATACCGATGGAGCTTAAAAATGACGCGATGCGGCTCCTGCAGTTTCTAGTGCACTCGACGCGACCTCTCAAGCTGGCCGAGGCTAAAGAAGTAATAGCAACGCAGATCGAAAACGAGCCGCGAGGGTTTGACGTCAAGCGTCGACTGTTTTGCGATACTGATGTTTTGGACTACTGTCCTAGCTTAGTGACAGTCGTTCACGCCGCCGGCAAAGAGCTACATCTTGCCCACTTTTCTGTCAAAGAGTACCTTCTCAGAGACGAGCGGTTCAACATTACGATTGCTAGCATTCCCATTGCGAGGACGTGCTTGACTTATCTTACGGACATAAACGGTAACCACGAAGAGATTAAGCGGGATTTTCCAATGGCAAGATTTGCGGCGGAAGTCTGGACATACTATGCCACGTTCGCTCAGGCTTCGGAAAATATGGTTCAAACAACTGTTAGGTTCCTAGAAGAGGAAGTGACGTTTCAGCGGTGGGCTCGTTTGTATCAGTCTGATAGGGACTGGGACGATGACCCAGGTCCTCCACAAGGTTCCAGGCTCTATTATGCTTGCTTCGCTGGGCTCGTAACACCTGCGCAAATTCTTATCAGCAAAGGAGCGGACGTCAACGCGCAGGGCGGCGAATACGGCAACGCTCTCCAAGCCGCCTCATGGGAAGGCCATCAAGAGATTGTCAAACTGTTTGAAAAAAAGGGCGGTATGACATCGTCTTTGAAGCGCTCCAGCTCTAGAATTCCAGGCAACCTGAAAAAAAAACTTCGTCCTATGGTCCCTGAACCAGTTGATCAAATGGCCAATCGAGAGTAGAAGCTCGTTGCGATGCGTCTTGGGTTCGGGTCCTAGATTTTCGATCACCCAGGTTGAAATGGGGAAGTCTGCAGGATAGCCGCCATCTCCTGTTGATACCTCTCGTGCAAGAAGCCTTCGTCTCAAGAAGGGAATCAGTTTGTACGCGGGCTAAACCGGGACCTTCAGTATGAGCAGTATCCACTGGCCGTGTTCGTAGGAAATCCAAAGCTGAGGTCAATAGGAGTAGGTTTTTATTGGATGGATGGATGGAATTTATTTCGCCCGGAGGCACTAGGCCTATAGGGCCTTAGCACGCTAACTACATCCGGATCAAATCGGTTTGCCTTTAACTCGTACAAGCCCCTTACTTCTTCCCTCTGTCTCGCTGCACCATTTACCTCTTGCCTTGGTTGTTGTTAGCAGATCAACTTGGAGGCTACTTTCTCCAAGTGTTCAGCGTCCTATCTTCAGCAGCTAAAGCGGGACCTGCTGGTTAAGGCTCGTGGTTGAGGCTCGTGGTGTTGAGTGTCGGCTTCTTCTACTGTGACTGGTCTAGACTCTCCTCCTCATTCAGCTCCAGCCTTCCTGTTGCCATTGCGTATTTGATCGTCGCCCGGACTGCCTTCATATCTGGTGACCAATGCCTTGTATCTGATGGCGCTTTCCCTCCCAGATAGAACGAGAGGCTTCCTCGTCTTGCCACTGTGCATTGCAGCATGTCTTCCCTCAGAGCTGTCCATCTCACGCATCGGAAAAAGAAAGTGTTCCACTGATTCCCTCGCTTGTCCACAGGCACAAAGGTCTGACTCGACCGCCCCAATCCTGCTCAAAAAACCGTTCAGTCTCGCCATTCCGGTTCGGAGCTGCGCCAATACGCAGGCCTCCCTTCGCTTCAGCTTGTCATAGAGATGGCGCGTGTGCTTGCCTGGTAGTGCTGCGTCCATGGCCTTTGAGAACTTGCCCACGCTTACAGGTAGAACTCTTGTCGCCCGTTGTTTTTCCATTGCCAGCCTCATCGCGGTAGACTTGGCCTGGGGCATTTGGGAGTCGGGTGTGCGTCCTTGCTTCGACGCTCTCTGGGCTGCTGCCTTGGCATCCGACCCCAACGCGAAGTCAATCTCCGCTGGTATCCACAGAAAGTTGACCGAGTTCCCTCTTTGTCGGTGCAGCCTGGCCAAGTCGTAGATTTGCCGTATGATGCTTTGGCCGGATTGCTGCCGCGGCTGTCCAACTGCTGCCAGCGCTGACTGGTTCCTAGTGATCACGGTGATGTGCCTGTGGCAGATGCTAGCCGGTAACTTCTCCAGGGCCATTGCGATGGCTGCTAGCTCTGCTGTATATGGGTTCTGCTCTTCCCTTGTCCCAAGAACAACAGCATAGTTTGTCACAGTCTCGCTAGTTCTGTTGAAGAGAGTATCCCGTGCAAGGCCGCCCATGCCAACAATGCCCTTCTTTACGGATGAGCTGGTTGCGATCACGATCCCCGAAATTTTGTTGACCATCTCGGCCGCCTTCCCTCGATCGGCTTCGAGCGTCGGTCGTAGGCGAGGTACCCAGGGCGGGACGGCGTATTCCTGGATTGTCTCCATCCGGTCAACTCGTACTCCTTCGGCCACGCGGGCAATTTTCTGCAGCGGAGATACGAATCGTACGGTGTCCGGACTTTCTTCATGGCAAGGGGATGCGTTCCGGGCAGCGTGTGGATGTTGATCCACAGACTGGCTGCCGCCTGGGCGTGTCGTTCTCGTACGGGGTAGATGCTCGCTTCAGCTTCCACCACGGCTGTTGCCGCGGCTCGAAAGGCTCCCGTGATGGCCAGGGCCCCGATCTTCTGCGCCCTGTTCAGCCAGCTCAGTGCCTTTTCCCCGCACGCATGCATCCAGACATTGGCAGCGTAGTCCATGACCGGGGCTACTGTCGCAACAAATAGCTGTCTCGCTGTCCGCGGGGAAAGCATCTTCAGCCTCTTCAGGGCCAGAGCGGCTGCGAGGCCCTTAGCTGCCGTCCTAGCAATGTGCTGCTTGTAGCGGAGTTCGCGATCCATCACGACACCTAAGATTTTCGCACTTTCCTTCGGTTTGACCACTTCGCCCTTGACCGAGAACGGTTGTTCTGAAAATCGCTCCATGTTCCTCGTGAAGTGTATGATGGCTGTCCTTTCGCCTTCAAACTGCGCACCGCTCCGTTTCTCCCAGTCAAGGGCTTTGTCAATGATAGCTTGGATGCCAGTGCGGTTCGACTCCGCTGACGGGCCCGTTACCCAGGCAGTGTAGTCGTCCACGAAGGTAATTGCGCCTCCGTTCGCGTCGATCTTGTGCTGCACTAGGTCGGCATTGAAGAAGAGGAACAACACTGGAGACAGCGGCGATCCTTGCGGAAGACCCGCTTGGGGCAGCTCTTGCCGTCCAGATGTGAACCCGTTTACGGCAATGGTCGCTGTGCGCTTGGAGCAGAAGGCGTCGATCCACTTGACCAGGGGTTCAGGTATCCCTCTTGCCTTGAGCCTCTGGAGAAGCCTGTCTTTGAAGACCCCATTGTATGCGCCCTTGACATCGAAGCTGATCAGACTGAGCACTTTCCTAGCTCTCCATGCTTTGTAGATGTGTTCCTGAAGGAGAAGGAGAGCCTGTTCGGTCGAGCGTCTCTTCCTGGCTCCGAAGTGGTTGGCGGGTAGAAGGCCGCAGGTCTCCACAGCATGGGATAAACGCTCCGCAATGACTGCCTCTAGTATCTTACCTAGCGTGGAGAGCAGCGAGATGGGTCTCCAGGACTTGGCTAGAGTGTAATCGCTCTTCCCTGGCTTCTTCAATGGGATGATCTTGGCATTCTTCCACTGGCTGGGGATGTCGCCGTCTCGAAGCGACGTCCGGAATAAATTGAGCACCCTGTCTTTGACCACTGGCCCAGAGCTGTCTCCATACCATTGCCGGTAGACCGTCTTCCCCGGGCGCCTTCCATGGCTTAGCGGACAGGACCTTTTGTTCTATCTCCTCCATTGTTAGGTCTGGCATGTGTACCGGCGCCCGTTGAGGTCGTTGGCCCTCGTCTTCGATTCTCGCTGGCAAAGGTGGGAAGAAGGCGGTGAGTAACTCCTGCGCTTGTTCTGCTTTACCCTCCGTGATGGAGTCATCGGGTCGGACGAGCGGGGGTATCTTATCGCCCATCGTGCCGCTGCCGGTTTGCAGGTACTTCGTTGCTTGCCAGATGTTAGCGTCATCGGCCAGGAAGTCGTTCCAATGCGAACTCTTCTGTCTGCGGATGGCGTCATGGTACTCTTTGGCTGCCATCCTGGCTCGTTGTTCGAGCTCTGGTGCTGTTTGCCCAATCCTACGTCGAGATCTCGCCTGGTTTCTCCAAAACGTGTATGTCTGGCGAAGCCGTGTCAGGTCTGTTGTCCACCACCGCTTGGCGTATGGTGAGGGCTTGGCTTTAGGTGTCAGGGCGTAGACCGCCTCGGTTACCGCTGCCATGAGCCTGTCCGTCTGCTGCTGGACATTGCCGTCCCAGGGGATGCGTTCGAGGTTTGCTGCCACCCTAGTCCTAATTTCCGTCCAGGGCGCGTTTTTGAAGAGGAACCTCGTCTCACTGGGACGGTCCTCCACCGTGGTGTCAAAATCTGTCTCCGATTGCTCTGTGGTCTGAGCCATGGTCGCAGGGGTGAATCGCGCATCTGGAGTAGTTGGTCTGCTAGTTAAAAAAGAGGACCAGTACCAGGTCGATTGTGCTCTCAATGTCGCCTGACTGCCACGTCTTCGTGCCTCTTGGGAGGAGGCTGCAGAGGGAGTGTTCGTCCATGAGGTTGATGATGCGGTCTCCCCTCGCCTTGTCTCCGTGGTGAGACATCGTCCCCTCCCCAAAGCTGGTCGTGGCGGTTGAAATCGCCCGCCAGGATGATATCCGTTCTCGTCCCTGTTCCGTTTCGAAACCTCCTAATCAGTCGGTCAATTTCCCTCATTGCATCTTCCAGTGCTTCGTCACTACCACCCTCCACATACACTGACACCAACAGCACTGCCCGGTCTGGGAGCCGAATGCGTGCTGCGGTGAGGTCTGCCGACGGCACTGGAATTTGCTCGACCTCTATATCGCTTCGTACCCATAGCATGCTACCGAATTGGGCCACGTGGCTTCTCGTCTTGTCGTTGGTATCAGCTTCGTCCAGTTGTGATGACTCATTGGGACCGTCGTCACCAAGCCTTCGATCAGCCTGGCATATGGTTCGGAGATGGCCAGCACTGCGAAGTCCTTGAGTCCCTCGTCGTTTAGCAGACTCTGCTGCACTTCTCTCCGTTTGCGGACGTTGAGCTGAAGGATCTTAAGCGTCTTGGGCCCCATTGTTCAACCAGCGTACCCGACAGTTCTTGCTAAATGACTCGTGTGGTCCTCTGCATAGCACGCACTTCAGGACCACGGACTGACACGTCTTGTGGTGGTGACCCTGTTCCGCACACCTTCCGCATCTTTGCGGCTTTTTGCAGGCGAAGGCCTTATGGCCGATCTCCTGGCATCTGTAGCACTGGATTGGGCCTTCCCGGGGCGCGAAAACGGTCGTGTAAGCGGATTCTCCGGCGAGATGGAAGTAACGCCCGTCTAGAAGTCGCCTTGCTTCGCTGCCCTTCGTCACGTAGACAACCATCGAGCCGTAGGCCTTGCTTGTATCCTTCCTGCTGAGCCAGGCAATCTTCGCAATGTTGACGTCGTTCTCTGTCCCTAGCGTCTCTGCGAGCTCCCGGCAGGATGTTTCCGTCCGCATCGAGGACCGCTGTTCGGTTAGGCATTGTCTACCCTCACCGGGTACAACTGGTCTCTCAATACCCGCACTCCAGGAACACTGATCTTCTCTGCCGCTTCCTTGACGAGCTGGACCTCGCCTTCGTCCCTGCAAATTACTTTGACTCGGTCCGGGTTTCGGGCCTCCTTGACAACCGCAGCGCAACGCCAGTCTCCCATGCTTTCCTGTGCCCTGGCCTCTGTCTCGATTGCCTTTCTAATGTCCGCCACCTGAACGTTTCCCTTCTCTTTCTCCTCCACTCTAGATGTATCGATCGTACAGAACAACGTGTCGGTAAAGGATGAAGGCGTCGTGTTTCGCGAGGAGAGGGTGCGCACACCGCTTGGTTGGCTTGATGGTGGGGTGCGAGCGACTTCGGCGTATGACCCTCTTGCGCTTGGTTGGGACGAAGCCATGGCTACCGGGTTGCGTTGAAGGGTATCAATCTGATTCCGCGCTTGTCTCAGTTCTTCAGACAGCTGGGTCCTGGTGTCTGCAAATTGGGCGATGTAGTTCTTGAATCTCGTCGTGCTGCTTGCAGATCACCTCGCGTAGTTCGCCAATCGTGTTTCGCTGCTCGGTAATCATTCGGTACATTTCGTCTCGTTGTTCGTTGATCGCCTCCAGGAGCATCTGTATACCTGACTTCCCCGTCTCGATCCGGCTGTTGGCTCCATATAAAATCCCAGACGCGCGTGCTCCTCGCGTCGTAACCGCCCGCGTGGTCTCGCTCGCCGCTCTCCTCGACGTGGTAGCCACGTTCTCGAGCGATTGCATGGCTTCGCGAGCTTCCGCGCTCGGTTTCAACGCGCGGCTCGGTCGTCTCGGCGAAGGTGGTTGGCCGGCCACCTCGACCACGATTTGGGGCTGCGCCTCCGCCGCCATCTTGCAGTCCCTCGGCAGTGCCGCCCGACTTTCACAAAAGGTTAACCTACCGTAGAATTCTTTTTTCCTCCTGGGTTGAGTAGACTGTAATAGATCGTAGGTTTTTATTGAGCTTAAAGTCGCTGTAGATAGCGAGCTTGGTCTCGGCTAAATATCGCATTTCAGCCACACATGACACTCCAGGTGGAGCAACGACGGCGGCGTCGGGGCGAACATCGAGAGCATCGATCCTCAGGAGCATTACAAAGCCTTCCTGGATGTCTGATACGTATGT